CATGCTTGACACGTCTCACGCGTGCGCACCTATATGCTCCTCCATTTGTACACCTTGGGCCAGTTCACAGAGCTGTTCGTCTTCTCAAGACCGAGATGGCCACTGAGTGGGGTGTCGTGAGCCTCATAGAGGATACGGTAATTTAAATTTTCATCGTGAAAAAAACACAATTTGTGGCGTATCCGTCGAATCTATGCTAAAATACAGCAACTTATTTTGTTGCGAATATCGGTCTGACCGTGCGCGTAAATGCGTTAACAATTTCTTGTCCGAGTTTCTAAACTCCTTGCTCCCGAGAGTCTGTGGCCACGCGACACACATCATATCATTACTCTCATATGGGGCGCGGATCAAATCCGTCACTGACGACGCCACCGTTGTAACAGAAGCAGTCTTATAATCGTGTTTGCATGACAACGCATCAGCCAAAGCATTCTGCTATCCTGACCTTTACTTCTTTTTGAAGTTATACTTTACGATGAAGGAGAGCCACCTTGCTTTCTTTTGCGAGAGGTGAGGCGACTGAGTCGCAGTGCGTAAAAACGCATGATCTGTGTAGATCGCAAATGGCTTTGAGTCATGCAGGTGCACCCTGAATTTGACTAGTGGATACTTTTTCGCCAGTAATTACTTGTCGTGGACTGAGTAGTTCCTCTCCGCAGCCTTAAGCTGGCAAGATTCGAAATCAATCACCCGATCTCGCCCCTCGGCGTCTACTTGCAGCAGTGCGCAGCCGATGGCAAAGTCCGAAGGTCATAGACGACGCTGAAAAGACGATCAGGGTCTAGCAGCACCAGTATTGGTGCATGCAGGAGGCTATCTTTGCTCCCGTCAAAAGCCTCCTGATGCTCGGTGTCCCAACACCATCCCTTATCCTTCTTGAGTAGATTTGGCAATGGCCGTGCTATTCCCGGAAAATTTGCGCCATACTTGTGCAAGTAGTTGGCGAGCCAAGTCACTTGCGCAATTCCTGGCCAGTGTACAATGGCCTTGACGTTTGAGGGATCTGCTCGAAAGCCACGCTTACTAATGAAGCATTCTAGAAAGGGGGATTTATTCAGCGTCAAAATGCACTCATCTGCATTGGTATACATCTTATTCGTGCCCATACCCTCGAGCACGCTTTCAAATAGACGATGTGGTTCTCCTAATATTTTTCGCCGTGCCCCACACGACTGTGGACGAAGACGTCGTCGAAGTATGTTTGTGCATACGCCCGTTGGGGCCTGAACAACTGCGTCACAAGACAATTGAAAATGCCGGTGCGTTTTACAGCCCTTGATGCATCACCAGTCACTCCCAGAGCTCTTACGGCTGTCAGCGGAATATTACTCGCTTTTATGAGCAATCGACCAAGTCGATCGCACGGAATTGTGTACAGCCAACCATATTGTTCTGGATAACATCCTTCCTCGGAATCGGCGTTTGTGTCGGAACGGTAGCAGCATTAAGCTGATTGTAAGAGTGAACGATACGATACTTTACGTTGGCTTCCGGGCACAAAACAGGGCGTCGAGTGTCGAATGGGGGGACTTGCTCTCACTCACCATTTCTGCATCGTGATTTACACGGAAAAAGGCGTTAATGACGTCACACTGCTCCTTGGGCAGGGGCCATTGGCGTGTTACGAAGTATTTGGTTCCCGGAAAACAGGTCAATCACCTGGGTTTGGAGGCAGGACCGACGGCGGGTCTTTGGAGAGGACGTTTCGAAATTCCATTAGCAAAAGAATAGTATGGATCCGAGGGATTCTTCAGGATCAACGATCAACTACGTGCGTTCAGCACCGTCTTTGTATACTCTGGGACAGCTACATCCAGAAGCGACGACGAGTTAATCTCCTCGTTTTTTGGTATAATAGCCACCTCGGCTAGTTTGCCTTCCTTCAAGGCACCGCCAAACTCTTCGAAGTTATCGTCGTCTAGCTCAAGAAGAGAATCCACCGCGGGAATAGCCTTGATGATAACGTCGCCGTTTTCCTTCCCCCGTTATACCATTGACAAGGGTGTATAACGTGTCACTCCACGTGCATCAGAAGGGTCATGCTCAAGATGCATCGGACCTCGTCTGACCATGCCACTCTTGGAATGCAGCAACAGCTGTAATACTTGAGCTGTGCTCAGTGGGTTAGGTGCCACTCCACGTTCAACCCGCGAGCCATGCTCGGAACTCTGTCCGATGTCCCATCCGTACTCGACAACTCGAATACAACGTGTCCAGCAATTGTCCTTACCGGTTCAGTTCCCGCGCCAATAGCGCTTCTGCTTCCCAGCAGATGTGGGTTAATGACTCTCCAGGACTCCATCAGAAGATGTATGCGTAGTGCCCAAGGTCTTCGGCCTCCTATCAATCCATGGCTCAAGGTGTTTCAACCATGCCATACAAAGGGTTAGGCTATACCTTGAATTCAAGTCTAAGTCTGAGCAGCGTTCCACGCTATCGAAGTCAAGAAACTCCGGGGTCATTCGGTACCCTCGGAACCGTGAAACAGGTCCCCGTCACTAAGCGAACAGTGACGGTGTCACTCAGCCGCGCTTCAGCGTCTCAGTATATGTTTGACTACTTGCGATCATGGAGCATTGAGCATGAACGCCCGATGCCCCGGAGACGGGAAGGACCTTCCATGGCTTCTTTAAGCCCATCACGGTTGCTTCCACAACAAGAAATTCTGGCTTGCATATACGTTCCGTGTTCAACAGAACGGAGCCCTTCAGGGCTAGGCCCTGCTGCCCTATACCTCCTTGAGGCTAAACAGAACTCCATTCTCCACCCAGAAGGGCTCTCTGCGCCTACAGGGTTTAGTCGCCCCCCGCGTCAAACAAGGCTGGCTAGATGCAAGATGTCGGTTTGACGAACCAACACGCGCCATGCGTAGGGGAAAACCCGTCTATAGGTGACGGGCATCTCAACAGAAAAACACCGTCGGGTGTTTAAACGCTGCCCGGCAGCTCGGAACTCTCCCTCCTCTTTCTCAGCACAGCTAAGATCCTTTGGCTCAGGTCTGCTTGACGTGCTCTGAAGATGTGCATTCCAACCAAGTCGTGCCGACTTAAAGCTAAGTTCGGCATTCAATGCCACATTTACCGCTTCTTCAAAAGATGTCGGATGTGACGGAAGACTTCCATTCTGGCCACGCCAGTGCGAAAGCCATCCCTAAAGACCGTCACTGTGACCGCTTGGGGGAGAGGGTCAGCTGCCATTCCCGGCAATGAGAGTACTCAACTTTTGGACACAGTCCACCAAATCCTTCTTGCCACGTCGGGTAGCAAAAATACGCGATCGCATGCGATATGCCTCGTAAGCGGCAAGAACACTCGCAAAAGCTGCGCCAGGAAGAGAACGCCGCTTTCACCGAATTGCCGCACGTCAGAGGCCATTCTCGTTCTCGACCCCGAGTATTGATTGAGCTAGCGCCACGCGCTGTTGCTAATTGCAGATGCCATAGCCATCTCGGCCTTTCTCATTCAGAGCCGGAGATTCTCTCCATCCTTACCCTCAGAGGTAAAAATGCTTACCATGAGCGGCCTGGGTCGAGTGGAGTCAACTGTCGTCGACGGTGGCGCCATGTACGCAGTTTTCTGCTGTAGGTGCTCTGTGAGAGAGAGCATTTTCATAGTTTGAAATGGCCTTCAAGGTCGCGGTTGTCGTTTCAGGTCCTTGCGAAGCAAGGTTTTGCACGCCCTAAGAGCTAAGCAGGAACATTCGTTTTTTAAGCACGTCCTTCTTGCCTTGGGGCACATAAAATAATTGCTCCATAGTTACAGAGGATAAGTCGAAACGACTCAGGCGAAAATTGACTAAGCGTGCTATCAAATGCAGCGGGTTGCTGTAGCGATGGCTAAAGGAAGCTTACTCAAGCTCACCGACCTTCGTTCTATACTGGAATTAAAACGAGTGTAGCGGATCGCAATCCGCTACCTCCACGAGTTCCCAAAACCATAACTAAAGACAAATGTACTCTTCCATTCAAAATTACAATTGTATTTATCTAATTATTTGCGGCAGAGCCGCCTATATCTTGAGTCTTAGGTTTTCCAAATCAAATACCCGCCCGTTGTGACTTCTTGTTAAGGTGTAGCCACACCATTGTGTAATTTTACCTACTTGAGTAATGCACATTTTTGTACGGTCTCATTACAGAATCAACACATATACGTTTTAGCACGCGACTCATCATCACAATCAAACAAAGAATGCCCATACCATGTTCACAATTGATATATTTGTCTTGATAGGGATTTATCATCAATTTGTTATCATTATATTCTTTCTGGGAAAGGTGGGTACATTAAACATTATTGATATACAGTTGAAGTTTGTATGACATGTAGCAAGAAGCATCATAATTTTACACCGGGATTCGATCCCGGGCCTACTGGGAGAAAGATAGCTATTTTTATCGTTTAGACTAAATTGAAAGACAGACAAAGCGTATAATTATACGTACGAACGATCCACACCAAACAAAGAAATTCCTTTCATTATGCATCGTATGAAGATCATCGTTGAATTCCAAAATCTGTCACATCTGAGACGGTATAAACAATGTTATGCAAAAAAGTGAACGAATATGATATTCTCGTACCAAGGGTATACCACGAGCCTCGTATGTGAAATTAAGCTATCCTTAATGCCTTGATTACATGGATAAACAAAACAATATCAAAATGCATAATACGAATTATTAACACAAGTTCCAACATGCACACTTACGTACAAACAACACATACCACACAAAAACGTCGGAATTTTCATCAAACATAGAGTTGCAATCAAAAATTTAATCTAAGCCCACTTTTTACTTAAAGTCAGGTATCTGAAAGATGTAAATAGAAGTTTGGAAAAGAAAAGCAACGGTATTCAATTTTTTATATGCTTAAGCATACCAAGTCAGTCATGTTCCTTGCGGATGCGGTTTTTATGGTATTTGTTCTTTTCCAAATGTCTCTGGTGCTAAATTGGTGAGTTAATTTACATAGGGCCCATAAGATCGTAAGCGGATGCCAGAGACGGATGGCGGGGTGTCTTTGGTAAATATTATCATTGAAAGTATTGCTCCGTCAACTCAAGCGACCTTGGCCTTGCGATACTACTTCTGGGACAAATTTTCCGGTCATCGAAGCGTGCCAACTGCTGTCAAGAAAGCGTCTCGACTACTTGACGTAAATCGGTAATTTTCAATTACTAACTATATGCAAGAAGTGATAATACATAATGCGATTCCGCATATGGTGATTGCACATTTGACGATTGTTTTGACTGGTTGCATTGCATGATCTAAGTAAGATCGGATGGTCTGAGTATGGGTCGTCAAGATACAATTGGGATGGTATGCGACACTAGGATTGGTTAAATTTAGCGGAGCGAACCGTAAAAAAGTAGAAACTACAAGTACAGCTAATAAGCTTCTAGAAACTATTAGTTCACGAGCAAAGTGTCTGAATAGTTGTAATTTGCTAGTTACTACTCGAGCAACCCAAACAACACGTTATGCGCCCAAGCTCCGCAGACAGACCCCTTCGCTTTTTCTTCAACCACTATTTTTGCTACCATCATGGACGCTACGCCAAGCCGTATAAACAAAATTTGAGGGAACAATCATCCACAAATGAAACTTCAGGGAGCGGGTGATACTGGAGAAGCGCTACTATTGGAAGATTGCGATCGGATATCTCACGCTTGAGCAGCTGGGTAGCGCGTTCGATTAATAAACATATAGCGTAAGGCTTAAAAGACATTGGAGTTCATCTATGTTGCGATTGGAAGACTCGCAGCTGCCGCTGGTTCACACGGCCAAAGATGCATATGATGCATTGTCGCGACTAGGAGGTCATTTTAAGAAGAAAGGCTTGACGGATAAGCTCAGCCTTTGTCGTCGTTTCTTCAAAGCCATGATGGATAAGGTGATGATTATCTACTCACATCAACAAGATACATTTTTTTGGCGGAGCAACGAGATGCGGTGGGCGTTCCGAGTCACTTGAGACTTGGAGTCTCAGTGAGACAATCGCAGCATTATAAAAGCTTTGTTATCAGAGCGACTCGCTGATGTGAAAAGTTGTGGCGTCCCGGCTGCTGAAATATATCGGGCTACACTTATCCATTAAATGAAGGTACATTCATATGCATTGTGGAAATTGAAAGAGGAAGATTACCGTATGTTGCTCTCACACACATACGTGGTTTTTTATATGAAATCATAAACATTCTGTGTGATGCAGAATGCTGGTTCCTACTCGGAGAGCTGAACTGGTGACAAGTTCTCTGTCTTTCGAAGTGGGCAGTCTACCGCATGCGATCCACGAAAGCTCAAGCCTTAAGAGTTCAAGATCCGTCCACCCAAGATCTTGAATATGGCAAAGCCCGAATTCAATTTCAGTACACCCTTTATTGTAATAATGAAGACCTCAAAGTTCTATTTTGTAAAACCTCTACGAGCTTCGGGATGTTTGGCATGTAGTTAAGAGCCATTACTCATTTAAATTAGTTACAAATTTAGCGTTAAGGTCTAAAGCTGTTCTTCTTCCCTCCAAGTCAGCATTGTCTAGCTTCTTCCACATTGAGAATCGCTTCCTAGTTGTACAAGCGTGTGTTTTGTGTATGAGGGACTTTTGGGAAGAATACCCACTAACACCATGTAGCACGTCGCGCATTCCAGTCCAAGCTATACTCGTGTCCTTGCCCGAACGACATGGAAGGAGTTGGGTAAACTCTCGGTCCGTCAGTACCGCAAACTGAGTTGCTGACGAATGAGATGTTTCATCATTTGCTTTCACATACGTGGATGGCACTCGAGCGGATGCAAGAAAACATCGAAGAAGTAGCAGTGGTCAGTTTACTGCTGTCGTCTTTTCCAAATGACCAGATGAACGCAGCGGTCAGTTTAATTTATCATGAGATAACGAAACCTTGAAAGCAGGTCGCAAAACCTGTACAGAACGATGCCTCTGACACTGCACGTGCCTCTGACCGTTGTGGAGAGAATGAGCCTCTCTCACGATGGCTTGTCGAGCTGGATAGCAATCACTGCATGACAACTGCGATACTCTTTGCACCGAAGATTGTTTGCGATGTCCAATCTCGAGAGACCTAGGACGATTTGGGCGTATAATGAGGGTTTAACCAATCTAAATTGCTCTCCGAGCTTCGAACGCTCCAAGATGGAGCTAATTAGGGAATTTTAACCTTCGCAGACAAAGTTTCGTGCCCGTGTCGATATCTTTAATCTTAATGAGGGTCGTAATGACTTTCATTCGTATGCACAGCGTGCTTGCTACTTGGTATTGAGCATTGTTGATAAGTCGATTGACCTTTAAACACAAGTTCTGACGACCATGTCGTGTTTGAACGGAGGGCTGAACCGGAATCAACTTTTTCGTGAGTAGACCATGACGCCGGACGATGCCATCAACCGTGCGATGTGAGAAGAGTTCAGCATCAGGCAAGCAAAGTCCAATGGCTTTGTACCAAGGCAAGCGCGCCAGAAGATCGATACATGTGAAGGTTCAGAGCCATTGGGCATCTCTTACTTTTCCTCGCCTGGAAATGAGCGTCTCGCAACGATGGTAAGTGTTTCCGTTGCGAGAAGTCAAGTCATCTTGCTCGGAACTGTAGAGTGTCTTTGCCGAGTTGGCAACAGGCGCAGGGTGCTCGTTCAGATAACCGCGGACGCTACAAAAGTCAAGTGTTCGAACACTCCCAGGGGTAAAAAGCGGGAACGACGACTATAGCCGAAGCTTCCTACTGGGCCCGAGAGGAGTACTGTCGATGCTTAGGATACACAGAACTCTGGCCTCAACGTGCATGATGCACATGCAGTTTCCACTATGAGTGAAGAAAGTGTCAGGCAAATTCCAACTTTGATTGTCCAAACCGTTTTTTTTATAGTCTGAGAAACTACGGGCTCTGACACTGGTACGTCGAACAACTTTCTCGAGCGCAAATTATGACTGGGCATGGTGATAGCCTGCCCAATGTGAAAGAAGAAATGCTCATTCGTTAAGCGAATGAGATAGAATGAAGATACCAAAGCTAGTCATTTGCTTGACAGTGAAGTTGGAGTATTTCCGAGGTATAGACGAGTTTACCCTTCTCGACCTCGATAATATGTTGGATATCATCCTAGGCATGTCATGGTTGGAGCGTTATCAGCCTAGCTTTGACTGGGAGGGTATGATGATCGTCGTCGACCAGTCGTGCAACGCTAACTCGAGCTGCATAACGACGAACGAAATGGAATTGGAGTATGTATCTGTTGAAGATTTCAGAGATGTCCTAAGTGATATTGTGGTCTGCGATGGCCCCCAATGTCCCCAGAACATGCTCGAGAAGACAGAGTAAAGACACCAACTGGAGGTGGAGCAGTCAGGCGCCAGAAAAAGAGAGTTTCCTTTGCTATCGACATGGTAGTCATGGTCGATAGTAGTATGAAGCACAGGCAAAACCCGACCCGGGAGGGAATTAAAAGGCCACCTAGAAGAGTATTTTGTCTAGTATTTTGCGTGCCCCTGATCTGGTTAGTGATTCCTAAAAATTCAAAAAACGATCTCACGACTTTCAACAGAATGGTCACAAATCTTCTTCGTCCATTGCGGGAGTTTGCATTAATTTACTTTGACGTTCATAGTAAGGGTGAGAAATCTGATGTCGATGGTCATCTTGATCATCTTTGTCAGGTCTTCAAAAGTCTGCAAGAAAGAAACTGTACGCTTATCTGAAAGACTGCACAAACCAGCCGTTCTCGGCTGCTTTGTATCAATGGCGTTTGTGTAGATTTGGAGTAAGTGAGAGCTCTTGATGATTGGCCTGTGCTGATCAGCTGAGATAATGGTTGGGCTTGGCTAACTACTGCGCAGATACACGCGCAACTATGTAGCGATGGTGTAACCCCTAACGTCTTTTTTAAAGAAGAACGTTGAATGGGAGTGGTCAAAAGATCACCAGGTGGTCTTTGCCAAAGCAACAAAGAGCTTGAGCGAAGCTTCTGTTCTTGCGATTGCAAATTACAGTAAGCCTTTCGATGTGGTCTGCATTGCAAGTGCTTATGTCATTGGTTGTGCGTTGGTCCAACAAGATGATGAGGGTTGTGAGCAAATAGTTTCGTATCAGTCGCGACAATTCCGGCTCGTAGAACTGAACTATACAGTTCATGACGAAAAGCTTCTAGCAATGCGGTATGCTTTGGTCAAGTTCCATGTGTACTTGCTTGGAGAGTAGTGCTTTTTGATCTATAGAGATCATGCAATACTGCGATCGGCAGTAAAGACATCTCGTTTATCGCAATGTATGGCTGGATGATTTTCCTTCTTTGCGAAGTCAACTTTGCTGTACCAGCCAATTAAGACAAACAACTTAGCTGTTGCGGTATCAAGACGTCCGGACTATAATCCAAAGTCTAGAAGCAAATACATGCAAAAGTCATGTCGACACTGCGACGATTTTCAGACGATCAGAGTGCAAGCTATGACTACAGCGCGCGAGGAAATTATCAAAAGACTCAAGTCTGATAACAAGACACGTTGAGGAACTTCAATGGCGCTTCCGTTGACGCACTGAAGGTCTTCCGTCTAGCACAAGATCGTGTGCTCACCGATTTTGGTGTACACGACGGATTGTTGTACTAAGCACTTGAACACGGGAATCCAGCAAGAGTTGTTGCTCCAAATGACGAAGGTTTGCGTCATCGTTTGTCTCTTATTTGATTACCACGATATCCATTTGAGTGGCATCTCGGACGTGAGAAAACGTTTCTCACTCGTTCCCGGGAACATTGGCGAACATGTCTGGGTGGGTGCGCAAGTATGTGATTTGTCAGAGAGTGAAACCATTGAATTCCACTCAGGCCCAACTTCGGTTCTCGGTAGTGCCAACTGACAGCGGGAAGTCTGTGAGTATGATCTTTATATTTGGACTTCCGCGTGAGACACACGGACGCAGTGACATTATTTTGTTAGTGGACCGATTAAGCAAGATAGTTCATCTTGCGCCTGTTCTGGACAACATCTCTAACGAGATGACAGCAAAGGTTTTGTAGATGTGATTTCGTCTGCATGGCCTTCCTGTTGGGATTGTGTCTGACCGTAAAGCACGGGCACCGAATTGTCCTTGTCAACAGTGTCACAACCGGAATATGATGGTTAAACAGAGCATGTAAATTGAATCTTGGAGGACGTACTGCGTAATTATGCTACGTCGTTCAAAGCGTGGAGTGAGTTTTTCCCTCTTTCATATTTTACGTTGAGCAACTCAACGGATGTTTCGAAAGGGGATTCGCCATTTATGTGAACTATGATATTTATTCTAGAGTGCCTGCTTCCATAATGGACGAGGTCTTTACCTTGTAT